AACGGTAACCGGCGATATGGTGCAACTCACCCTTAACCGAGATTAAATGAGAAAATTAACAACACAGTAAGTTAATAAGTCATAAAAAGGTAAGATAAGTCACTAAATGAAGATTTCTCACATTATTTATATATGAAGGACTCCGTAAGTAATTATTAAATGGCTCTGAATAAAGAAACAAACATAATGAAAAATGTAACTAACAAACACATATTTTCTACTACCAATAAAAAAATTATTGTTTAAAAAATGTATAAAATCAGTAACTTCTCGATAGTTTAAAAACTAACGTAGGTCTCATTATCCGTAACATAATAGAAGACATAGTTACCGGTGGTAATGGAGCCACTCCAGTCAGTTTGGTGTACTGCCGGAACACGTCTGCTGGCTTGCTGCCCAGCATCACAAACACGTCCACTATACCAGACTCACTGATGAACCTAATAATGATATATTAAACATTAATAGAATAATTCGGCACACGGGCTAATAGCGAAGAGCTACGACCAAACCTCAAGAAGCTCTCGCTAGACAGTTGGATAAAGGACGCTATACAAAAGGCGGTTATTTCAGAAACCGCACGCATAGTGAGGAGGTTCCTGTCTCTGCCCTGACCACTGGTTGCTTGAGTCATCGGATTCCGCAGCCGGTGGTGCTCTATTTTTTATATAATATATTTTATTTTATTTTTATATCAAATCTTGTAAAATGTATTATATAGAGAATAATAAATAAAGATATATGAAATATAATAAATCTTAATATATATTATATTCAGAGAAGAAAACTTTGATTGTAATAAATAGGCTCAAAAACTACTGGGCCGTTATTGAAAATTCTTACACCACTTACACATTTCTTTGACTGTAGATAAACGAATATGTTTATTCTAATCTGAACACTGTACACAGTTAAATCTTATGGATAGATAGATATTTGTTAGAGTTTGTAGCCTAAACGGTTGAACGGATTTAGATGAAATTTGGCATAGATGTAGAGGATAGTCTGGATGAGCACGAAGGCTACTTCCACGCGAACGGAGTGGCGGGCGAAAGCTAGTTATAAACATATTTAAAAACGTGTCTTTCACATTCTTGAGTCACTAACAAATTGGTTTTTACTACTAGATAAAAAATATAATATTTATTGATTTCAGAAGTTTGTCGCCTTAATATTGCAAGAGTAAATACTTAAAGAAACAATCACTCTCATAATTCAACATAAGGGTGCATTAATTTAGCCTTAGTGTCCATACATGACGGCTACAGAGTTCCGCCATGGTCTACTGTAAGGCAATACTTTTACAACTTCGATTTAAAAAATAGAATATTCTAGAATTAATCTCTGGTATAATATTGTACAATTATGTTTTATTTTAATCCTTCCAATAAATGTTTAATTTCAAGTGAAGTAGCGTTAAGTAGAGGAAAGTGTAATTTCCATACAACTCGGTCATTGTGCTGTTTTATCATTCAGTTATGTTATGAAAATAAGGGCCTAGCCCACTACAGACCTTAAAAATTACGTTGCTGTCAGATAAGGTAATAAAATCCGATCTTTCCATCACAGACACATATTTTACACGTTCGATTGTTATCAGACAATTTACAATTTGGTGGAAATGCCCTTAACATAATAAATGTACTAATAATCTTTGGTGAGAATACTTTAGTTCATAAACATGAAGCACATAGGAGAGTAACAAACTTACCTCGCGTCGACACGTCGTTTATGACCTCCTGTGACCAGATTGACGAGAGATGACACGACGGTGCCATCCGCGTAATTGACTACATCCACCCAAGTCTCAGCTGAGTTGTGCCAAAACACTCCTACTGTACGTTTAGACCTGTCAAAAAAGTACAATACTGATACAAGGAATATTTTTCTTATATAACTAATGTACAGTGGCGGAAATCCGCGGTGTCCCACTTTAGGAAAATACCTTGCGTTGTTTATTACAATGAGTCTTCGCCTCTTACAAATAACTAACTAGATAGCAGTTATTGCAAACGGAGGAATAATAATTAAAACAAACTAGCCGTGTCATTAACCGACATTCTTATAGACACACGAGCTGTCGCCCGCAAACTTCGTTAGCGCTTTGGACCAACCAATACGCGATTATGGTAGCGCAGAATTAAAAAAAAGAAGTAATTTATAATATGCCTATCCATGTCAACTACCCTCCAGTGAAAGTCTGGTCGAAATCGGCCCAGTCGTTTCGGAGATTACCCGGAACAAAATGCGGTTTGCAGACAGACAGACAGGCAATCGTTTTTTAAATGCGATTTTAGTTATCAGCAAAGCAAATACATCACGTTCCCGACATCAGGAATTTTTCTTTTGATATTACAGAAACTCCAATTTTATTATATGTATAGATTTATAAGCCGCGTTGTATTGATTTTTGTTCCGCGACTATTTTATAAATTGTTCAAACGATTGTAGGGTCTAAGGTGTAACACCGCCACTATTCCCGAATGTACAATCTTGGAATCAGGCAGTGTTCAATAAGTTAGTAGTTATTTGCAGGTTTTTACGCATTAAAATAAAGAACAATATCATAAAGGTGGTAATTAATAAGTATTTACAGAAAATCATCTGCTATTGCTTTTTATTATCTATATGTTTGCTCTAACTACTACATACTTAATACTGTAGTTGTAAGGAGTTTACATCTTGTAAGGAAAAAGCAAACTTTCCCAAAGTGGACCACCGCAAAGGGCTCTAACTGTACATATGTGTTATTGGTATTTTAATAAACAAATAGTGTTATTAATATAGCCGATTAGTGTAAAATTAACGTTATATTTTAATTCTTCATACCCATGTGCATATAAAACAGGCACAGCGCCGTATATTGCCATCCTGCTGTCCAGCTCGTATTCAAACACGTCCAAGTTGTAGAGCCGGTATGGTTCTCCAGACGTCGTCGTGCGGAGAGCGAACTTGTCCGTGTGCTCCGGTATACCTGATAGAATACATATAACACATTATATGCTACTTGTATTTAACAGAAACGTGTCTCAAAATTTTCAAATTCTATGAAAGAAAGTATCAAAACATCAATAGCGCGTTCTAAAACAACTTTACCGCCATCTAGTATAGCTTTTACATATTATATTTGTTGTCTATATCTATCATACTAATATTATAAATGCGAAAGTTAAGAAGGATGGATGTTTGTTAGAGTGTAGCCTAAGCTGCTGAACGGATCTGGATGAAATTTAGCATAGATGTAGAGGATAGTCCGGAAAAAGACGTAGGCTACCTTGTTTTTTTTTTTAATTTCACGTGGTCAGAACGTATATAAAAGAACTACAATATATCTCAATCACCAAATACGATTATATATAATGACAAAGGAAATAGAAAAACTAGCAGCTGACAAAGGAAATAGCGTGTTCTAAAACAACTCTAGCGCCATCTAGTATATCTTTTACATATTAAATTCATTTAATCTCATACAAGAGAGATACATCTAAATTTAAAATATAAAATTTAATATTGTAACTAAATACAAATAACATTGCATAAACAATAACTGAAGAATGTTGTTAGTTGGTTAATAAATTCTCTAATGTTAAAATACTACTTACCGTAGATTTGATCGGCGTCAGGGAAGGAGACATCGAGTGACACAGCCTCATTGCCTCGTGGTTTGCTGTCGTGATGGGATTTGAAATTCTCTCCCCATGTACCTTCCTCCTCCTGAAAAAAACATAGAGGAACATATCAATATTAATATTATAACGTGTAAAAATTTGTATTTTTGGATTTTAGTATCTGCTGCAATTAATTTGTGACATAGGCTATATTTTATTATTTCCACGCAGACGAAATCGCTAGCAACAGCTAGTATGTAATAAAACAAAGACACAAGTTCAATGTAATCAAATAAAAACACGTGCGATTAAAGTACATTGCAAAACAAAGAAGTATCAATGAATTGTGACTCGTGTATTATGACGTCACTTATTGACAGCACATTCATCTCCATAATGCATTATCTCTCGACCAAATGATCGGATATATGTCTTAGGAATGTCTTTTAAAAAAATTAACGAAACAATCATTTATGTAAGACATTAAATTATATATTAACTAGCTTTCGCCCGCGAATCCGTGTGGAATTAAAAAATAAACATAAGTGAGTATGTGTTTTTTCAAACTATCCCTATGTCTATGTCAAATTACATCAAGGTCCATTCAAATGATAAGGCTACAAACTCTAACATCCATACAGCATTAGTAAGAAAGTAAAATTGACATATTTTACATAAATAATCTCCCAAACTTTTTTTTTTATAACATAAGGTGGCAAACGAGCAAAAGGTCACCTGAATCCATCGAAATGGAAAGCGACCGCTGCCAATAAACATCCGCAATTGCAGATGCGTTGCCTATCCTTAACTGACAGAGAAGACGCACATAAAGAGGTTATTTCCCCTTCCTATACGTCTCCTCTACCATCTAATCCACTTTTCCTTCCCATCTTTTCCTTTTAAGAAAAGGGTGTAAAAGGAAAGGGACTAAAATTAGGCCTATAATCGTTGATTGGTTATTAAGTCTCTGTGTAAATCTAGTAAGAAAAAATTACTCTCAAAACAAAAACTTCCTCTTGATAATTATTTGTAACTTTCACTTTTGATGTGAAATTTTCACAAAGGAATCTTTTTTTTAAACAGAAGATTCCTTATATAAGACAAGTAAATAAATTATTGTTTATTATTAATAACATAATAGACATTATGATCGCATAACCTCACATAGATGCTTAATTAATAAGTAATTAGATAAAAGGGTCACGTAACATCTGTTGGTAAACCGTTTTCTTTGTGCGTTATCTTAATTGTATTCTGTTTTTGTGTTCTATTACAATCATTTACTGTCGAAAAACGTCTACATAAACATGTTTTAAGAATTTTATATTAAAACTAGCTGTCGCCCGCGGCTCCGTCTGCATGGAATTAAAATATAAACGAAAGTAGACTATGTGTTCTTCCAGACTATTCTCTACATATATGAAGTTTCATAGAGATCCGTTTAGCAGTTTAGGCTACAAATTCACAACAAACATCCATCCATCTAAACTTTCGCATTTACAATATTAGTAAGATAATATTAATTAAATACTAAAGGTTAATTTTTAATCATCATCTATGTGCCTGATCCTACTTATGTGTGGTTGGTGCACTAGGTTCAACAGTTAGATAAACCAAACTAAATGTTTTAGGGCCTGTCCCACCATTAGCTGATAAAGGCTCAGATAGTTTAAAATGACGTCACTGTCACATTTTAACACATAGGATTGTTATCAGACAATATACAATTTGATGGGACAGGCCCTTAAACTTTTAGCTTAACGCCTAGCCTGCCAGTGACAAACTAGTGTATGCCTGCATATTTGTCCGCGAGGAAAGAAAAACTTGATAAACACCCTATAGGTTTAGGGCAATTATTTTCTACATATGTTCCAAAATTCATTGGGATTAATTTCGCTGTCATAGTCAAAAAATAAATCCAAGCATTCACACTTATAATAAGTACGAGCTTTTACTTGCGACTTCGTCCATGTGTAATTAAAAAATATAGCTTAGATAAGTCAGCAATAACATAGCTTTTTATTCAAAGAATTTCTGAAACCTGCCGAGTAGTTTTTGATTTAATTCAACACACGAAAATCCAAAAATGAAAATATTTTCTCTTTATAATATTAGTACAGAAAGTATAATACAATTATACATGAAAACATCATGACATTTAACAACACATTGTCAATCATACTCTTGACAATTCAATTTCCGCTATCAAATAGTGTTTGAAAACACAAAGCGTGTAAACATTATCAGTCACGTAGTAAGATAAATAGATCATTGACATAGAGATCTTAAGGAAATGTGTAACACGGTCAAAGATATTGATATCGGATAGATTGAAGGTTGCATTTGATTGCAATTTAAAATACTAGCGATCCGGTCTGTCTTCGCCTGGGTGATGACTCTTATCTTTTCAGTCAAATCTGTTCCCTTCCCGTTGATATCTTATTTATTATATAGCCTTCAATGCTAAGTAATAATGTTGTCTTGTACATAGAATGATACATTAAACAATAATTTAAAAAAATACTGTTGAGTAAAGAATTGTTTACTCTTACGAAAAGTTACAAGAATAGGTTTTTACCTTTCCTTAATATGAGGCATTTAAGGCTTTTCCCCACTGGAAACTTTACATGCATACTGAATGACGGCACTAACATCTTATTAATATTATAAGCGAAAATTTGTATGGATAAATAGATGTTTGTTGGAATTTGTAGCCTAAATGGACAGATCTTAATCATAAGAATTGAAGATATAGAAGGAGTCACAGTCAAACGCTAGTTATAATTTAAAATATTAAATTTCAACTTACAACTTCAATAGCATTCTCATTGCCTTCTTCTTCATCATTTTTCTCCCGCTTCAGTCTCAATGGTTCGATAAGCAGCTGCGAGTTCTCATTGATCACCACGGCTACATCACCATTCTGATCGAGGAACTCAAACTTGAGTGGCTCCGCGGTTATCAAGACTTTGTGACCTTGTGTGTTAGTCAAGGTCAGCTTACCGCCTTCCTTGGACACTAATTGAAGTCTGCAAGAATTAAACAGTTAGGTTTTATTAAGAAAACATATGTTTACATTGTTGGTATATGATATGGGTATGAAACATTACATTTATTATGTACATCATCTTCCTCCTTATGCTACTCCCGTAGGGTGTGACAGGATTTGTCCGCAACATAACTCTTTTATCCGTCATCTCAGTCATCACCCCCTTCTTTATCATTTCATCTTTCATGTAATCCATCCATCCCTTTCAAGGTGTGCCTCTACCAGTATACAAAATATAAGGGGCATAGAAATTTGCCAAAGGTGAAGTTAACAGCTACCAAATCTTACTAATATTATAAATGCAAAAGCTCAAATGGATAGATGGATGTTTGTTAGTTTGTAGCCTAAACTGATTTGGCATATGTGTAGAGAATAGTCAGGAAGAATACATAAGCATGCTTTAGTTTTTTTTTTAATTCAATTTGGACAAAAGCTAATATAATAGAGTCTTGTCAAAAGAGAAATAACTATGTTTTGGTGTATAAAGGAAATTTCACAGAATTAGTAAAATAAAAACATGATACTAACACAAAAATGTTTGCTATAAAACAAAGGAGATTTTTTTAATTTTTGAGTATATACCATAAAAGTAACTCACCCATCAGCCTTGGGTTCTCCGTCAAGTGCCAGCTGTGTCCTGTATCGAGGATAGATGGGGTCTGCCTCATCAATCTGAATCCTGAATGTGCCATCTACTAATGCCGAGAATGTTAAGGCATACTTCCACTGAAATAAAACATAACTACAATAGAAAACATTTATAGCTATAACATATAACTTGCAGCAACCAAATTCATAGACACTAGTTAAATGCCCACTTCATCATAAACAATAGCATGGTTTTAATATATTTTCCTCATTCCTTTTTATGAAAATTCCATTTATAGGATATGTATTTACAACTTTATGTCATTTGCTACTTTAGTGTAGTAAATAGTGAAATTTTGTAATAGAAAGTATTGTTAAACCTTGGTTATGCAAATTGTATACTGAAGGTCGTCAGAGGACTGTATATTATTCTAAAAATAAAATATGGCTATAAATAGAATAAATAATTGAATTGCCTAGTTATAGTATACCAATAGTTAAATAGAAATTATTACCAATGGGATTTTATTTTCAGTTTCGGTATTAACAGTGGACACCTCTGCGGATAAAATATTGCCATGGACTATAACGGTATCCAAATTAAGTGTGTACTGAGATTTCTCTGGTTTGAATGATCGCAGCCGTTTACAGAAACCGGACTGATCGCATGTTTTAAAATTATTCCTATCTACACCATACACGGTAACTGCGAATAGAAATATTAATGGAAGACCCAGCGGCTTCATTCTGAAAAAAAAAATATTCAGGTATCAGTGACATACACAAAGACCGGGTTGACAATGACACTAGAAATACTAGTTTTTGTGAAAATACCTGGCCGTAGGGTCGTGTAGGCGCTTGATATCAATATACTTTGAATTAGGTTTAAATTTTACAAAATCATCTCAAAGAATATGACTTGAATATACTTTTTCCACACAGTAATCGAGATAAAACACACGCTTCCGTTACGTGGAGAAATCTCGTTTGTTCCGTTTTGACGTTTGGTTTGACAAGTGTTTATTGTGTGTGTTGCTAGTTAATCTGCGTTAAAATTATAATTTACATTAAATTGTTGTTGAAATAAATTAAAAATATAATTTTAATTCACTTTTTAAGTTTTTCGAAGCCTTATAGATTACGGAAAATATTTATGTAAAAATGCATGTGAACCCGGATTCGTTATCCAATCAATTTAGTATATCAAATTAAATTTTAAACGTCAAATAAAATTCTTTCCAAGGAAATGTTATCGCCGGCTTTTCAATGCGCACAATTTTGTAAAAACATCATTCAAGTCAACTCGTCAATATTCAATTATAAAATACAACGTACGTGTTTTTTAACAAAAATGACTACTCAAGCAAAGTGGAAGATTGAGAAGAACCGTGTTCTAAATTTACCATTACAAGAAAAAAGAAAACTTTACAGAACTTGTGAATATATTACGTTGGACAACATTTACACTTGGTCTAAATACGCTAAAGAAAATGAGCATATAAAGACGAAACTGCATACAGAAGATGATCATAATGAAATGAAAAAAATTAATATCAATCATGATAAGAATGCCTACCTTGCTGAGAAGGTATCAATTTTTAAGGGAGATATTACAAAATTAGAGGTAGGTATACATCTTTGCAGTATGAAAAGATTTTTCTTTGTACCAAATTCATTTGACTATTAATTGTTTATAATATTTGTCTAGATTGATGCTATTGTAAATGCAGCCAATTCACGTTTGAAAGCTGGTGGTGGTGTTGATGGTGCTATCCACCGTGCAGCAGGACCATTACTACAGGTAATATTCCCCTTTTTAATTACTTTTTTTCCATTCTAATTCAATATTTATCAAGGGATCTTAAATCCAACAATCAAAATTATTAACATTAAGGTTATTATTTTTTATCATAATTTCAAAACAATAAAGCAATGTTATATCTCTTATCTTGTTATTCTTTGGTACAGTGTTTTTTTACTTGTAACCTATAAATGTTATTAACAATTTCTGTTATATTGTAGGATGAATGTAATTCTCTTGGAGGTTGTCCCACAGGTCAAGCAAAAGCTACAAGTGGATATGATTTGCCAGCTAAGTGTAAGTAGAAATTATTATACAACAGATAAAGTATGAAATTGCATTTTTAATTTGTTTACTTTTTTCAGATGTGATTCACACAGTTGGGCCACAAGATGGCTCTGCACCAAAACTTCAATCATGCTACGAACATTGCCTTGCACTTAAAAGTGAATGTCATTTCAGTTCTATAGCATTCCCATGTATTTCGACTGGAATTTATGGTTTTCCGAATCGTCTAGCGGCACATATTGCTCTAAGGACTGTACGGAAATATCTGGAATCAGATGACAATATGCAAAGGGTTATTTTCTGCACTTTTATGCCAATAGATGTGGACATCTATGAGACATTATTGCAATTATACTTCCCAGTTGATTAATAAATATTATAACTACCTACAAGTTAAAAAGCATGAAATGCTTCCTTAATTATGAAATGGTATTGATATTGCATGGGTTTGTGTATATTTAGAAGCAATAAAGAATGATTTTTTTATCAGCATTTTATTTACATGTGTGAAATCAAGAATAAAATAAATAGTACAGACTTATCGTTGTTTTCTTGGACATCTGTACATTTTATGTATTATCCTTTGCAAATATTCTTTATTAGAGCTGATACTCCCATAATTAATACGCAAATTGATTGTTCGATAGGTTGCTCAATTAATTGGCCTGGAAATCCTAGTAATAATGTTTTCAAGTCGTTGTATGACTTACAAAATATATATTTTTTTCTCAGATTTTACATAAAATTACTTGGTTCGATTGGCTTTATGAATAGAAGGTCTTTGTTTTTGTTGAACACAAACTGACAAAAAGCCCCAACCGAAAGAAATGTCACTGTCATTTTAAAATCAATAAATAATAATCTATGTTTTTGAAATGGAATCGAAAATTATTAACAATGATGAGAGAAATCTAATTCAGTTCTAAAAATCTATGAGAAAATGGTTCACTGTTGTGTTTTGGGCTGTGTAAATCGAAGTGAACGGAAATGTGAAAATATAACCTTTCACACGTAATCACTTTGTTATTATATTTCTCTATGAGCGTAGCTTGTGATTATAAAATATAAGCACAAAATATATTGGATTTAAAAATAGTTTCATCTATTATAAATAAGGAAGTTACAATTCATAAATTACAGATTTCCTAAAGCCGACGATACGAGAAATAAATGGATAGCATTTACTGGAAGAAAACAATGGAAACCAAGTAAATACGACCGCATGTGTAGTAAGCATTTTGAAAGCTATTGCTTTTATAAAACTAAATTCAAGGTTTACTTAAGAAACTATGCTGTACCAACACTATCTAAACACGTAAGTTTGTTTATTAATTAATTCCATAAGTTATAAAAATTAAAATTTCTAATATAGAAAACGTTTAAAAACACTGTACTGATGTTAATGACATTTAATAATAATATTTTCATAATATATTATTACTATATTTCTTACTTTTTCAGCGTGTGGCTAATTCTGTTCAATGTAGATATTCCAGGTATAAAAATAATGAACCAACATTAGAACAGACAAATACAATTACATTACAAGTGCCTGGTTATGTAAGTTTAATTAAATATAGTAAACCGCTAACATTTCCTAACAATTTTCCTTTTCATATACCACTGATGTATTTTCTTTCAGAATACGAAACCTTCTAATGACAAGGAGGTCATAAGGAAAGTTTACCAATCACCAAGATCAAAAAAATCTGCAGCTGTAAGTGACACTTGATATCTACTCTGCTTTAATTGTGATGTCAAAAAATCTTCATATGCTAGTTTTGTCATCACCAGCTCATTATTCACCCCCACTGAGAGACTTTATGCCTACCTAAAGTTAAGGGTGACTAGCTCATATGCTACTATACTTGTTGACTTAACATATCTTTGAATTTCTTGACAGATATATGCAGGTATTACAAAGTTTTCCTTTTCAGTAAAAATGTACATATAAAAAAAAATATACATCAGTACAAGGTGGACTCCTAAGTTAAATGGGATGAAAATGTGCCTAGTGTGAATTAGGTGAAAAGCTTCTTATTAAAAAATATGCTGTGATTGCTAAGAGCCTATGTAACAAAGTACTATGCTTTATTATGTTAATCTACTAGCTTTCGCCCATGATTCCATCCTCATGGAATTAAAGAAAAAATACCAAAAGTGACCTATGTGTCCAGACTATCCTCTGGTTCTATTCTACACTTTCGCATTTATTATTTTAGTAAGATATAAAATATCTCTTGATTATAGGATTTCATAAGTAATAATCGGGATGATGGTGATGAAGAGACGGATGATGCGATAACTGATGGGAGTGACAAGGATGACGATATAGAAATCACTTTCGATCCAACGGTAAGATAGAAATTAGATATTTAAAGGTAAGGGATACAGCTTGATATTCCAAAATTTAATACATCAATTTAAAATATACATGGATAAAAATCTCATTATAAATGTTATTGTTATTGTTACACTTATGGTTTTGCAGCAAAATGGAACTATTCATGTTTTTTTTTTACTTTTGACAATTACTTATGTTTCCGAGTATGATTTGCAATAATATTGATAGTTATTCTTATGGAATATTTAACACATTTTAAACTATAGCTGACTATTCAACTGCTCCACAATATTAAAAGGTTTTGTTTACAGTCATTCCCTGTACAAACACCACTCTCAGTAAAGGATGAAGTAATTGAACCTGAGGAAGAATTATCACATTCTATTGAGTGAGTTATCAATTTTATTTTCTTAACAAATTTTTTTCAAAGACAATATTTCTATGATAAGATGAAATTTAAATTTTTTAACATGGCAATATTGATGTGACAATTTAAAAAGGGATACCAGTCTTTTAGGGTTCCTATTTTATAAATTACCAGTTGTTGCTTGCAATTTCTATTCGCGAATTTTTAATATTGGTTCAGCAGTTTTTGTGTTATTTCAATACATACAAAAATACAAGAATACATCTATTCTAATATTATAAACAGGTGATATATGCCAATATAGGTGATAAATTTAGTAAAAAACTTTATGTTATATGTTTTTATGTAATTAAATTATAAAAAAATGAAATCGATTTTTCTGTAATTTGTAGGGTCACTGTAGAATGTGATGTTGAAGATAGTGATCAAAATAATACTAAGGATGACGATTCAATAAATAATATAACAAATACACCGTAAGTATTGCTTAGTTTGCATTATCTAAACTATTTCTATGGTTCTCACTATTTCTATGAAGACAAACAATATTTTTCGTCAATTTGTCTACTATGTAAACTTGCATTAAATATTTTTAATTTTTATAGACCAGCAACAAAGGAACCTAAAGGTCCATACTCATGGGGAGGCAACTATAAAGGCCGTCCCTCAAACATACCTATTGTAAAAGAAATAAAACCGTTAATTGAAAAATACACCTCAGATGAAGAACTCGACTCACAAGAAAAAAATCTAAATTCAAATGTTCTTGAAAAGGAAAACAATGATATCGATAAAGTTAAAGATCAAATACAAGAGGAAGATTTTGAATATTTTCAATGGAAACCATTAAAAGGTTGGCAGGGTACTAAAAAGTCGTTTCTAAATAAAAGTATGGGACCTACTTCAGTGTTTACCAGCCCTTATGCAAGTTTTCGAGCATTCTGGGATAATGGTATTCTTTTATATATTGCTACAGAGACAAATAAATATGCTGATATTCAAAATATGACAGATAGTGATAATTGGATGGAGACTAATGTTGATGAAATCCTAATTTTATTTGCCTTCTGGATTATGTTAGGTATAATCAAAATGCCAACTATTAAGGCCTGCTACGCCCATAATGTTTCAATTCTAAGGACAGATGTCTTTAGGCGACTTCTCTCTGAAAATAGATATATGAAGCTTATAAGATCTTTCTATATAGTCGATCGTTCTAAAGATCCGAATGACCCTGATGACCTTCTCTACCACTTTCGAACTCTCATCGACCATTTAAATAGTAAATTTAAAGATTTTTACAATTTAGAGCAAGATATTTGTATTGATGAATCAACTAATTTGTGGAAAACGAATTGTCCGTTGGGTATTAAAATACGCCATTTATGTGAGTCGAAAACCGGTTACATTTGGTCCTTTCTTGTTGATTCGAATCGTAAAAATAATTCTGGTTTGCCAGATGTCGTGTATATAATGAAATTATTACAGCCTTTGCTGCATTTAGGACATACTTTGTACACCGATAGTTGGTTTAGTACCCCGATATTAGCAAGGTATCTTAAACAGAAATTTGTTAATTTTGTCGGAACATTGCGTAACTTTAAAGATATACCACCAATAATTAAAAACGCTTCACTAGATGATGGCGAATATGTCGCACGTCAATGCGGCGATTTAATGGCGATAGCTTTTAATGGCGGGAAACGTCAATGCTACTTGTCAAACTATCATGACATCTGTCAAATAAACGATCCCGATGCGGAAGGACCCCGGAAACAGAAATTGAAAGTAATCGATGATTACGAACGTGGATTGAGAAAAATTCATCGCATGGATTTCTGTACCGAACCATACCTGGAGCAAACGAACAAATGGCAGTTTAAATTATTCAAAATTCTATTGAACATGACGATTCATAACGCACGTATACTTCTAGAAAAGTCGACTAACATCAAAATAGATTCTTTAGGTTTTCGATTATCACTAGTTCAAACGATTATCGAACGCCATCTTAAAAGCTTAATTCAAAAAGAAATAACGGCAAATTTTCCTGCAGAACGGTTAACCGCGCGACATTTTATAAGACAAATATCTATACCGGGTGAGGAATTTGGTACAAAAATAAACAATATGTGTTCTATACGTAAGGCATGTGTTTGGTGTAAACAAAATGGCCGCGATAGCAAAACTACCTTCGAATGTCCAGATTGTAATGTTGCCCTTTGTCTTGATATATGCTTTGAAGAATTTCACACCATTTCTGGTTGACATAAGACAGTTCTGAGTGTCAAATTTAGTACAGGTTTCCACTTTTTATCGATTTGTATGAAACCATATTTTCGTCCCTCTTCTCTCTAGAATAGAAGAGATGAGACGTATTGTTTTGACATTAAAATCTCATGTTAGGAATCTCTTACTTTTTTCGATTCTCTGCGACCCCCGTGCATGCATACTTATTACTGTGAATCATAAATTCTGTTGCCTCAAAAATATAGTTTGCCAACAAGTTGCTAAGTTGTAAATATCTTATTAACATATAATTTATGATCTCTGAGTATCATTTTAAATGTTCATATTTATGTATTTTTGTGTATCGACGTAATCATTTTGAACATCTAAGTATAAGTAGTGTATCTTCGAAACGTAAGAAATATTTTATAAATTATCGAAATAAGAAATCTTAATCCATTTAATAGTTTCCCTATTGTCTGTTTTATTTTTGTGACAATGTGACTATTTATTTTATAGCTTTAAGGAATCAAAGACTTAAGTTTACTATTTTCCGCCTATTTGTTAATAAATATTTTTAAATAACAGTGTTGTTTTTCTTATTTTTTTTATAATAAATAGGGGCAAACGAGTGGCGAGATATTTGAAAAATCTCCGTAATAATTTTCTATGAGATATTTCTAATGAAAACTAGCTATCTACCCCAGCTTCACCTAAGTGACAAAGATATTTTCAATCATATCGATGCCCTTCCCGTTGTTGCAAATTATACTCAGTGATAATTCTATGATGATGATGATGATGAAACTTGGAGCGAGGATATAATAGATAAACAATGGACAAATAAACACTTTGATATTGAATAAAATAACAATTTTATAGGCTTAGACGCAAAAACCTTTTATTTGCAGATCGCGGATAAAGTTGGCAACACAAATTGTCTGTTTATGTGTCACTGTCATTCAGATGTCAAAATGTCATTAATTTCGGGAAAGTTTTCGTATGTTTGTTTATCATAATATAATTGCATTTTATCTTATAAGAGATATTAATCGTAAATATACCTTTTTTAAGTTATATTTGAATGTCCAACAACAATATCAGTTCAACTAATGTCTTGAATTTGTGATTGTGATAAATGTAAATATGTCAGCGACGAATTCATTGGAGAATGGTGAGGACTTAGAGAATGTGGCATTGGTGCGAATGGAAGATGTACAGCCAGATAGGAGTATTGAAGTGACGGTAACGCGTACAGAAGCCGACGAAAGTAATGATAGTTGTAGTTCGAACGACGATGAGGAATCGGACACCAGTAGTATAGTGTCAGTGAAATGTGAGGAAATGGTCGATTGCCCGGAAAATAGCAATCCTTCTGAAGAGGTCGAATCTAGTACAGACCCTCTTAAATTGGTAAGAACTTCAATATTTTGTATTGTTGTAATACTTTAGAAAACACCACTTACTTTAAAAAATAATAACTACAATTATCAGACAGTTTAAATTTATATATAATGGATTACAGACGGTTTCGTGTGTAATTTGTCTTAAAAACTTTAAATTTCTGATAGGTTAGAAGTGTGATCACTTTAAAAATCGCAGAATTATTATGTTGAAGAGATGTGGCATTGAGGGGTGCATGGGAAGGGGAAATATCCTTCTGTTCCCTCTTTCGATTCAAGAATCTGAATCTACCACTTTAAAAAGTCAACATCTATTTGTAGTGGTTACCATATCAAATTGAATTTTTTTTTAATATCATAAGGTTGCAAAAATGCAAGCGGTCACCTAAATTCAACGAAATATTGAAACTACCACTACCCATAGACATACAGCATTGCAGGTGTTGCATTTTTTTTTGTGTCTGAATGGCCACTGTTTGCCTTGAAGAGGCATTTACAGATTCATCGGGCTTGAGGTGGCCGAGCGCAGATGACGCTTAGCCTAAACCTTGTTTATAACTAACTAACTTCTAGGGATCCCACAGTTGCCTCGGCACAAGCCGTTACTCCGTTATTACCGGAATGGAGATGTTGCCTTACAAATTATTTTGATATTAATAATTATAAATTTTCAGGATGATGAACCAAAAACCAAAGAATCAGATCAATGGCCAACATTAGAAATATTACCAGGTGGTGTTATAAAGAATGCCGATAGATATGAAGATGATTTATTTAAATGTCAAATGGAAGATGATAATAAAAATGATGTTGCGATGTACGCATGCGCGATATGTTCGGAAAGTTTTGTTGAACTAATGACACTTAGCCTTCATGTAAGAGACCATGAGCAAGAAAAGAAAAGAGAACGAAACAAACTTCGGTGTAAGTACCCTATTTACATTTTTTTATTAGTTCCTAAACATTAATAATATTCAACACTAGCTATTCCCATGCGACTTCATCCGCATAAAATTATAAAAAAAAAATCATTTTATTAGTCACATTTGTTAAATTATCAATTGCAAATGTCCACATGACATGATGTCAAACCAGGCAACCTTGCTCCCTTGATGTTGGCAACAACTTCTGGTCTCTTTCCCACATTAGGGTTTACATCCAAAATATTTACCCCCTAAGTTTAACGCTTAAGCATGTCATAAGTGTAGGGAAAATATGCTGTGATTGCTGACATCTTAGGCAACAAAGTGTGTGTTTACGCTTTATTATAATAGTATAGACAATAAAGTCAAAAAATAGTTAATGCTGAATCTTAGATATATTAAAGTAATATGTTGAATATACAAATGTAAATTATTGAAAATAATCTCTTTTTTACAGATATAGAAAGCAAAAAGAACGCTAGCAAAAGGAAGATAGTAGATATTACTCCCGATAGTAAGGTGCCAAAGAATGCCTAGCTTAAAATATTGTGCACTTTATTTAGAAAAAAAATATGGAAAATGTGTCCGAGACTGGCTATTATATAAAATTCTGTATAAACAAACATATTTATATGTTGCAGGTATAGTCCCACAAACTTATCAAGAGTGTAGAATTGTTATTGGTATTATTTCTGCCAGTTAATAATATAAAAGGCGAAACTTCAATTTTAGGAATTTATTTTCTTAAAATAAGTTTGTGGTACTTTAACTCATTTGCTAGTATATTTTGTCTAAATATCAATTAATAAAATACATAAACATGGAAATAGAGATGTATGGAATAGCAGCACATACTGTGCCAACCCTCCATAAGGGATAAGGGCAAGTTGATGACATAAATATGAAAATACTAACTCTTGAAATGCTGCATATTTTTTTTACGTGCAATTTGTAACAATTTGACATATCAAGGCATGGTTTTTAAAAAAGAACTTTTAGGAAATTCCAGTCCAAACACTTTTATATAAGTTGATTTTGTTAAATTAATCAATAAAAAAGTTACTTTTTCGAGAGAAATATATCATCTTTACTATTTAAATTAATATTTTCTTTAATAAAGTATTTATTTAAACAAAGATGTAGATTATATTAGTTTTAAGAGTAATTATAATTTCAATTTTGAGATGCAACAAAAATTAAGGTAATTACAGTTAGCTTAATAAATAGTTAACATTTTTGTATGGGAAATATTCATAATTTCATCATTCCAAATAAACTTTTCTATTATTTTCTGCTTTGAGTAAATGTTAATAATTACACGATACCATAAATGTTGTTTTTACACTGGAATTGAATTGATAAAAAAAAAAACACTTTTTATCTTACTACTTCTATGGATGGATGTTTGTTTGTATCTACAGAACAGTATCGGATCTCATAAAAATTTGTCACAGATATAAAACATAATCTGGAAGAAAACAGACTACTAATACTTTATTATTTTTGTTTTTAATTTTCTTCGGATTAAGATGCTGGCGACAGCTATTAAAAAAAATATCATATTTTTTATAATGTTTATTTTTTTTAAATACATTTTGTCGCTCACGTTATAGTTTTTAAGTTGTTTAAGTGTTTGTTTTGAGATATGTAATTTAATAAGAGTTAATTCTATTAGTATAAACGGTTTGGTTTTTTTTATTTTTTTCTAATGTTACATAAACTATAAATTGTACTTATAAAATTCAATGTTTCTACTATTTCGCAGTGGAACTGTACCTTAACTTCAAAGAAATTGATGTCAGTTTAATATATAAAAGACTTAGTAGTAAGTTATATGTAATTAATATTGGTAGAATAAATATTTTACCAAAATATCAGGGTTTTATATTTTTTAAATGTAATCCTATTAAACCTAATTATTATAATTATTAATAATTCATACCATTTTGGGATATATGCCAAATTTCCTATGCAATGCTAAGTTCATGTCATTTAGGCACACTTTATACTTATAAATATAATGTTTTTGTATAAATTTCTTAATTTTATATCAAAAATATTTTTACACGCAAAATTCCGTTCATCAAATCATCATTCGTTATTTGATGCCCATAAAAGTTTGAAATTTTGAAAAAAGAATTACTGATTTCTTTTAGGACACAAAAAAATTTAATATTTTTTATGAATATATTTATTGATCTATTTTATAAATAACTTTGTATGCTTATACTAAAATAATGGTAATCATTAAATCAATTTTATATACTAAAGTGTACTTGCCTTGCAAGTTCGTAGCTTTGAAGTAGCGTATATCCGTAGCGTTTAAATCAATCTTTGTAGTTGCTTTATTTCTTCCTTTTTTACAAGTAATTTCTCTTTATCTAAAGCTTTTGTAACTTCAGGCACTGATGTTATGTAATGTTTAGTTGAAAATTTAGCTTCCAATTTATTTAAATTATCTTCAAGTTTTTTAATTTTATTTCTTAGTTTTTCTTTAGCTGCTTCTATAATATTAAATGCGTTTTCGTCATCTATAGCTAATTTAATTTCAGTATCTTTATCAAGTAAGGTAGAAACAGAATATTTACAATCATCTACATTTATTTTCAAATACCCACATTTTGTTAGATGCAGTACTATGTTTTCATTATTATCAAGATCTAACATTAATACATCGTCGTTAGTTTTAACATATATCGATGTTTTTATTTTATTTGAAATGTTATACATTCCTTTCAATTCTCTAACAAGACTTGTAACATTCAATAATCTTGTAACTTGATTTTCTAAATCTTTATTCTTCCATATTTCAAAATCTTTTGTCTGTGGGTAGTCGAAATAAAGTTTATTTTTATCGTTGAAGTTGTGAATTATATTATTTTCGAAATCAGGTATTTTTGGTATTAACTCTTCAGTAATATAGATCATTATTGGTGCTAGACATCTCAATGAAGTGTTTAATACAGCGGAGAGTGTGTGTGCATGAGCGTATCCTATTGCTTCATCTTCGTTATCAAATCCCGGTTTAGTTGCTTCAAGGTATACATCGCAAAATTCACTATAAATCAATGTTTTGATAGCTTTAGTTGCTAAATGAAAATCATATTCATCAATAGCTTTATTGACTTTGTCAACCATTTCCGCAAGTCGGCTTAAAATCCATTTATCGAAATATGTTAAATCGTTTCGTGTTATTCCTTCGATCGGTCTAAGTTTATCGAATGATAATTGCATGTATTTGATGCTTTGCCAGATTTTATTGCAGAATAATTTATTTGCATGACATTGATGTACGTCGAAGTTAACGAAATGAGATTTTATATCCTGTGACAATAATGTCAATCTTAAAGCATCAACGCCACATTCTGGTATACCCTTTGTATTAGAATAATTCGTTTTATGATAATTTATTGCTTTATATAATTCTTCTTTATTAAGTACTCCATCTTTATACATCTCTTCTGCTTTGATCTTAAGATTTTCTAAAGAAATACCGTTGATAACATCGATCGGATCTATCACATTGCCTTTGCTTTTTGACATTTTAGCACCTTTATTATCACAAATTACTCCGTGAAGTAAAATATTATTAAACGGTAATTTCCCTGTTAATTCTATACCTAGCATAACCATTCTGTGCACCCAGAAACCTAAGATATCATGACCAGTTACCATTAAATTTAGAGGATAGAAATGTTTATAATCAATACTGTTGTAGGTTTCAGGCCATCCTAATGCAGCGAATGGATAAATTCCAGATGAAAACCAAGTATCAAGAACATCAGTATCTCTTACAATATTTATATCTTCAGGTGCAGTTCTAAGATATTTTGATGCTTGTATTTTCGCTAAAATTTCATCAGTCGCTGCAATCCATATTACATCTTTATCAACGCTACATTTGTAAGCTGGTATTTGATGTCCCCACCAAAGTTGTCTAGATATACACCAATCACGTTCATCTTCTGTCCAGTTTATCCAGTTTTTTATATATTTATCGGGATTTATTTTTAATTGACCATTAATTACAGCGCTTGACGCAGCTTTATTCAATTTCCTACAAGATAAGAACCATTGTTCTTTTGGTAAATGTTCTAATACATCGCCAGTTCGACTGCACATTGGTAATGTCATTTGATGTGGATGTATGGATTTTAAAAGTCCCATTCCATCTAAATGTTCGACCAACTTTTGTCTGCAATCGTAGCGTTTCATTTGATCAAACAATTGGCATGTCTGCATCAAACCATCTTCGTTTATAACTTGTATGGAAGGTAGACGATGTCGTTTGGCGACTTCGTTGTCTATTTTACTATGCGCGGGAGTTATTTTGACAGCTCCTGTACCGAGTTTAGTGTCGACCATCTCATCAAAAATGACAGGAATGGTATCGTTTCTAAACGGATGTACTACTCTTTTTCCTTGTAAGTGTTTATACCTGTTCAATGAAATATGGTTTTACTCCAATTTGATGTTTAAATTTTACGCTAATTTATCGATCATATTTATTATAAATTAGCTGTTGCCAGCGACTTCTTCCACGCAATATTAAAATAAAAAAGTAGTCTATAATATGTCTATGTCAGCTACCCTTCAGTGAATCCGGTCGAAATTGGTCCAGCCGTTTCGGAAATTACCCGGAACACACGCGACTTGAGGACAGACAGACAGACAGACAAAAATTTTTAAATGCGATTTCGTTTCCAAATCTAGAATTTTTCTTTTCATAATACAAACAGGGACACAAATTTTTTTATATGTATAGATTCGAAAGTTTGGATGGATGGACGTTTGCTGTGTAACTCCAAACTATTTAACAGATCTCAATATTTGGCATAGATGTAGATTACGTTCTATGAGGAAGAACACATAGGCTACTTACTATTTTTTTTTTTATTCTTGCGTGGTCGAAATCGTGGGGAAAACAAAAAGTGGAAGTACAAAAAGATTCAACGCCGATACGGTTTTCATATATCACAGTGACTTCAGACACTGAATGTGTTGAGATGTTTAACAGTGGTAGAGCCCGCTTTAACCTTCGCACGAATTGACCAGCTCGCCCCCACCAACACCACGTCCACACAGAAAACAGGCGTGAAGTGGAAGCCATTCCGCGTACAGTCTGATGAGTATGGTGACGGAGGCTTAATTTTAGTCCCTTTTCCTTTCCACCCTTTTCTTAAGAGGAAAGGATGGTGGAGGAGACGCATAGGAAGGGGAAATATCCTCTTTATGTGCGTCTTCTCTGTCAATGAAGGGTAGGGAACGTATCTGCAATTGCGAATGTCTATGGGCAGCGGTTGCTTTCCATCTCGGTAGATTTAGGTATCCGCTTGTTCGTTTGCTACATTATTATAAAAAAAACGATGTTATTAGACAATCAGATATTTAAATGAAACATACCTTGAATCATTAGGATGTACAGCAATCGCTGTATCACCTAACATTGTTTCCGGTGTAGTTGTAGACACAATAACTTCTTCATCACTATCATATATTTTATACGCAAAGTTGTACATTAAACCAAACTTTACCAAGTTTTTGTAACCTGGTAACTTTATATCTGTTGGAGTACTAATAAGTTTGTTTTCTACTTCAATATCAGAAACAGTGGATTTTAAAGCATTACACCAATTAACTAATGCCTTCTTTCGGTAAATAAGGCCTCGTTCAAATAATTGTATAAAGGCAGTGTTTACCGCGTGTGAATGATTTTGATCCATTGTGAAAACTTGTCGAGACCAATCCAAGGAGCAGCCTAAGGTACGTAATTGATTGCATATTGTGTTGCCATGTTTCTCCTTCCATTTCCATACTTCTGTGTTGAATTTTTCCCGGCCAATTTCATGTCTTGTGACATTTTGTTTGCTTTTTAAATAATTCTCAACTACACCCTGAAAAATTTTAAGGAAAACATGAATAGGAAAACTTAAAACTTCTAGACTTACTATTATTAAAAATTAACATTAGCTTTATAGCTAATAAATAACAAAAAATATATAAAACAGTAATATGGCCGCTACAGGATATTTTTTTTTGTATTACAAGGCGATAAATGAGTAAGTGGCCAGTCAGATTTGCCTAAATAGTTAAGCAATGGTTACATCCATAATTATAGATGAGTTACCTATCTCTAATTAATATAATAGAGAATAACCCTTTCTTACAATATAAATGCATTTTAATTTGAAGAATTCTGACTTCAAGATCATACCTGTGTGGCAATCCCTGCATGGTCAGTACCAGGAAGCCATAGTACATTGTGACCTAATGATCTTTTTCGTCTTACAATCACATCTTGTATAGTACAGGATAAGGCATGGCCTGGAATAAAGTTTGTTTTTAAATTTACTTGCAGATTTCAATTGAAAATTTATTTGCAACCAGTACGACCAACTTCAGAAAATTAAAAACGTTAGGTTAGTATGCTTAAGAATTATATTATTCAAATTACTTTACGCAAAATACAATGTAGATTGTTTAAATGCAACTAACCTAAATGAAGTTTTCCTGTAACATTTGGCGGTGGCAGAACAACGCTGAACACCGGTTCTTGGCTTGAATTCTTTGCAGTAAAAAGTCCTCTACTTTCCCATTCATCGTATTTATTTGCTTCCACAACTTCTGGTTTGTAAGCCGGTGCTGCTAAATTTTCTGTAAATATACGAGTTGTGCTCGATTTGAACCTACTGTTTAAAGTTAAATTGTAAACTTTTACATTTCTCCTTATTATCATTTTAAATAATATCAATGTTATTATTTTTATTTTTTGACAGATAAAAATTTGACTTTACACTTTTTCGTTGAATACATTTTGTAGATAAAAGCAATGCAACTTTCGACCAAGCTCTAAACGGATTTTACAATTTTATTTTCTGTTAAGAAATGGATACCTTCTGCTTGTTTATTTCAGAATAGTTTACAACATTTAGAAAATTACTGAATTGATTTTGATTGTCATTACATAAAGTTCAAAATCATTTTAAATGAATTTTAGGAACATGTAGATTTGAATAACATGCGTCCTTGGGAATGTTTACGGTCTCATATAACAACTGTCAGCTGTCAGACTGCCACTCAATGACATTGTTTAATTTGACTTTGTTTTGTTGATAAAATTTGAATAACCTCTTATCATTTTTTATCACCTGAGGTTTATTCAATTAAATGTCTTAATTTTTACTAGTTAAATTTATATATTAGGTGTTATTTAAAATGTAGAAATGGATGACAAAGTATCCAAACAAAATTATCGAACTCAGCCGCAGTAAATTAATATTTTTATCGTTATCTATTGAAAGAATTATCTACCCACCAGTTCTAGGTCCGTTTCCTTGACTGGTAAAGATAAGCTGAGGTCTCAATGTCCATTTGAATGTAGAAGTCATGGCTTTATTACTGTATTTAAATCCATTTAGAGTTTTTAAAGATTTTGTGCGTATACCTATCGAAGCTTTCCTTGGACGCCAATATTTAGATTATAAAAAGAAAACTAACGAAGGAATAAACAGTGTTAAGGAGTTATTATTAAGAGCAGGAATAGTTTTAGTATTTTTGTCGGCAATTTTGTGGATTTCTATATTCATGTATGTTATATTTTATTACATTTATATGCCTAACGTAACGCATATACGGCCGGTTCATTTACAATTCAAGTAAGTACACTTTAATTTTTAATGCTATAATGTTAAAAATAGAAATATTTTAGCATATTTATAGTATAATTTATTAGTAAGTAGAAAACATAAATTTGAGGTACATAATAGATTTTTTTAATGTTTAATAATAATCAGCTTTGAATGACCTAGAAAAACAAGGTCATTATGATCTTTGCAATGTCATAAGAATTTACAGATAACAATTTGAATAAAAAAAGAAACAATTTTAATAAAACATTGTTATATTTGATTATTTCGGAGGATGTGAGTGTAATCAATTACTAGATTTCATCATAAACAAGACAAATTAAATAAAACCGTTTTTGAAATACCACTTTCAGGCCATGTGAGGAACAAATAGGCGTTTGTTCCTTCCCATCGGCGCACGTGCAACTGACCCGACGTACCAGTTTGTTAATGTCTGGACAGCCTTATAAAATAAAATTGGTCCTTGATATGCCGGAAACTCAGATCAACAAAGATTTAGGTATGTGTTAACTATTTATTAGTACCGGTTTAAGCAATACTAGCGCCCAGGGCGCCCTGGGCGTCATTTTATGACGCCCCACTTATTACCATGATTTGGTGGGAGGGATTAGCAGCCTTATGTTATGCTAAGTAATTAATTTGGCGCCCCAGACGTCTTGGGTGGTAGACCAACTGTTGCTTATCCTATCACCGGACCCCTATTTTAATGAATTTTAAGTATATATTACTGTTACAAAGCTAAGCTACTTGGTAATCTAAGTAAAATTGGATATAATTTTTTCCATGCAGACAAAGTCAAGCAAATTAATAAAGATGCATAATTTACCTGAAAGTTTACAAAATTGAGTACAGCGCCATCTAGCTATTTTATTATGTCAATTATTGGATATGAAGTGTGATAAATTCATCTAGCTGTCGCTCGCGACTTCGCCCGCGTGATATAAAAATATAGCCTATGTTACAGATAAATTACCTTTCTAATAGTGAAAGAATTTTTAAAATTGGCCCAGTAATTTTTGAGTTATTTCAATGCATACAAAAATACAAATCTTTCCTCTTTATAACAGTATAGATAAATAAATAGTTATTAGTATTGTATATGTGTGTATATTTCTGTCTTATCACTGTAGTGTTACGGAGCTTGGGTTATCTTATCTACAAGTGGACATGCATTATGTTAAAATACTTGCATATTAAAAATACAAATAAAAAGCTTCAAAAAATATCAAGTTTCAATTAAGGGAATTTATAATATTTATAATATTATCATGCCATAACCCAGAGGGGTGGGCAGAGACCATGTATTTAGCGTGGTCTCACCTCTCTTTTTATTTATATCTACACATGCTAGTCTTAATTACTTTTAATACTGTTTTCTTTTAGTATTGTGTTATTTAATATTTTTGAATGTTTGTGGCTTTAAATAGAGGTTTTCTACCCTCATATAGGCATTTGCTTGACCAAAACTTTTTAATAAAAAAAACAAAACCGACTTCCAAAAAAAAAATACACTACAAAAAAAACAAAATGCACTAAAAACAAAACAATATATTCTCAAAAAAACAGTACACTAAAAAGTAACGAAATAATAACTTGAAAATAGTAAACCTACCTTATTGTAACTGTAATGTCTATATTGTACAATTATTATTACTTTGATGTTTTTTCTTTACTTTTACCGTACTTTGATTATTTCGTAGGCGTTTGTTCTTAGGTATGTTTATGGTGTGCGCGCAGCTGCGGGCTAAGGGCGGAGTGTTCGTGTCGTCATCTTGTCGAGCTACTATGATACGACATAGGTAACTGCCTACCTCATTCTAATTATACGGCATGATAGATATTTATTTACAAGTAATACAATATAATAAGTGTAAACATACTTTGTTGTGTAGGATGTCCGCAATCACAGAATATTTTTAAATATTTTTTTTTAATGAAAAGCTCTACACTTATGATAGTCTATAGGCTTTAGATGTCTCAATCTAGTTTCACGCTATTTAATTTAGAGGGTGAATGAATTAGAAAAAATTATGTGATGTGGGAAAGGAACAAAAACTACAAGCCAATAGCAGCAAAGATTGCTGTGGTATCGGTAATTGTTAGCCAATAGCAAATGCCTTCGTTGTCATTTGAACATTTGAATTTTAACATTTGCGATTGAAAGTTTAACAAATGTAAACAATCAAATAGCTTTGACTAGTTTTCTCCCGCGACTCCGTTCGCGTGGAATTGAAGATATCAAAAGTGAGTAGCCTGTGTAATTCCATACTATCCTCAACATCTATACCAAATTTCATCAAATTCCGTTCAGCCGTTTTGACAAACTCTAACAAACATCCATCTTAACTTTCCCATTTATGTTATTAGTATGGTATCTATTTATTTTTTGAATACAAGAAACACTGAGATAGGTATCCCGTAGGTCGAAGTTACACCACTTGATAAGGACGGCGGTGTTCTCTCCCCTGCTGGTTAGCGGACTGGAGGAAGAGAAACAACAAATACATGTCGATTTGTTCACAGACTTTATTGATGATCCTGTGAGTTATATGATTGTAATTCATTTCACATTTAAAAATATGTTATGGTAGAAATTAATTTGGTTTTTAAAAGGTCTATATCATTTTAGATTTATATCGTCTATTTCAGAATATCAGATATTCAGATAGCAATGAAATATAATATTATTAATTTCATTGCTATTCAGTAATATTAAAAGAAAAGAGGGGGAAAAAAGTAGAAAGGGGGCAAGCGGAATATCAAAGGGAGGGGAATCGATTATAAAAGAGGGGTAGCCAATTAATAGTGGGGGATTAACCAATGCTCAAAGAGGGCAACCGATTATCAGGGGGGCTAGTAGTAAATGCTTTTTATATTAAAAAGACAAGAGAATCCTTATCAGCGACCTTTAGGTAGGGGAAGTTGCCCCCACCCCCTCTGCCTCCCAATTCAGGGTTTGTCCTAGATAAGGGTTATTATGCAATGTACAGGAGTTGTCAGTGACGGACGCGTACGTGGAGGTTCAGTCGCGACACGCGCAGGTGTACTCCTGCGAACTTCACGCGCAGGCGCACTTCTCCGGTCTGAGATACCTCATGTATTATTGGCCGCGGATATCTGCACTTATTGGTGAGAAACAGTATTGTTAGGAATAACATTGAATTACATTCAGAGATTCAATATAGAGAAGGCATAGTTGACTTCACTTGAGACATTTTTCACATTAAAACGCTATCTGTTATCCTCGAAAATATAACAATATAATTATTTGTTAATAGTTACCACTAAATGATTGTATTTTATTTTGTAGCACTGTTTGGTTTATATATTTTGTCAAATGTTAAAAAGGACACGAGATGGCTTAACAGTGGTAGAGCCCGCTTTAACATGTTCGCACTGTAGGGTCGACTCGCCCCCAATAATACCACGACCACACAGAAAACAGGCGTGAAGTGGATGCAATTCCGCGTTTCGTCTGATGAGTGTG